GTGTGTATGACAGAGAATCCTTGTAAAGTCTTTTCTACGTAACAAACATTTGTTTTCAGCTTTTTTTGTTTGCAGTGCACAACGCCTAGTCACACATTTTAGGCTGCACGCAGATGTCCGCAGACTTGATTGAATAAGAGAATTTACATCACGTGAACTGAACAAACTCAACAGATGCCGTTATAAAGATCTGTTTCTTACAACAAAATACAACTAATCTGCATTCCCAGTTCTGTTTGTGATATATCACAAATACATTTCTAATCTACAAGTCTTGTTTGTGCTTTACTGTTACTCATTTTTAGCCAATGATGGGAGGAGAAGCTTCAAACATGTTGTGAAAGGATTACATCTTAACCCAAAAGTTTCCTAACCCGAACCATAGAAACGAACAACGACGAGTAAAAACAAGATTCAAGATTTAAGATTAATAGTTTCCTAAATGACCTGAAGCCCTTTCTCCTCGGTGAAAGTCCAGTTGCAGAATCGTGCGTCCACCTCCTAACATGGACTTTTTGGCTCTTCTGGGACAAAAATATGTTTCTTACAAAATGAAAAAGCATGAATATGTTTATGTTTTTGGACAGACAGAGTTGTTTTATATTATCTCAGCTATATCTGCTGGATTGCCGGATTTTTTTTTCCCAAAATAAAAATGTGTTATTATTTTTTATACACTTCATTTTAAGATAACAACAAAAGGCCGTCTGTTTTCTGCATAATGTACATATTGTGGATCCAATTCATTGTATTGTGTACTACTTTATGAATTATCTATGATGCAAATAAGCGTAGGAACTAGCTAACAACTTCAGTATAAATTGCATCTCTCTGTTTCTGTCTCCCTTCCGTTCTATATCTCCCCCTTCTCAAAGCACCAGACAGCACCTCAGGGGTTATATCAAAGACAATCGACATCTGTTTGCACAAAGAGGGGAACAGCTTTGGTTTCGTCATGAGAGGTAACTATCAGCAGAAGAAGCCAATTACTGTACGTCGGCGGGACTGTGTGATCGCTTTTGACACGACATCCTGCTCAAACGGTGTCACTAAATTAAGACGCCGTTTCTCGCCTTGCAGAGACATTCTAACCTGTAGGTAGGAAAAAATATAATAATGTTATTTATATAGCATCTTTAAAAACAGAGTTTGCAAAGTGTTTTGACAGATAACAGGAAATAATAGGAATCCAGACAGTCAGGCCAAACAAATAGATCATGGAGGTGCATTATTTTTCTGACATCCGGTGGCTACACCTTCGAAAATTCAAGAAATATTCTCTTATAACAATAATTAGGTGCATTTTTTTCCCCTATTGCTATAAATAAATCTAGATTTTGGCTAAATAAAGCACTTCAACGTACTATAATTGAAGCAGATTGTGTTTCTACCTGTTGTTGGTGTTGGTTTACATCACTGTGGAGTGAGAGACGCAGTGCTATTGTTGGGAGACTCATCAGCCGTCTGGGGCAATAGTAGTCAAAGTAGTAGTAATGTATGTTGTTAAAGAGAACTGACAGGACCTTAATATAGACAGCAGACGCATTTATGTCACTGTGCAAGTCCTCACACTTTACTGCAGTATTTCAGAGCAAATGCTACTCAGATGTGCCACCTGGATGTAATGTAACTGGTTTAGCTAATGTTAAGGGAATATCACCTTTGTGGTTAAAGAAACAAAGTCAACCTAATCAACGTCCACATTTTGTTTTTGACGGTCATCTGACTACAGTCCTGATACAGAAACATCCTTTCAACCAAAAGAAAACAAACTGTTTGCTGCGTCTGTTGCAAGGTTGAAGCTTCTGTGCTTTGACTGGAAAAAAAAATGAAGGAAATGCTGGTTAGTTTTCACGTGAGTCCAGAACTGAGTGTAAACAGCTTGTTCCTGCTCCTACTGCAGGTGGTACCCATGAGGACTGGCACAAGTCACGCCCCCTGGTGGTGACCTACGTCAGGCCAGGAGGCCCTGCAGACAGGTAGGACCGAACACACGCTCGAACAAACACAAACCCATAGATACATGCAGCTATATAGATATGCATGCACATATCTGAACCTCAAACTATGATTAATGAAAGCCAGAAACCATAAAAACTGAAATAATTGTCAGATTTTCAGCTTTCCGACGGTCCTTGAACTACTCATTTGTGAAGCACCAACTTCAGTCTATACAGCTTGTGTAAAAAATTAGCCAAAAAATAAACCATTTACTCTAACCAGATTCTGCTAAAAACAAAAAATTCTGTGTTTCTCAGTGCAACTGTAAAGTCATTAACGACTCAGCTGTCATCAATAGTGACTTGACAAAAATTCTGAGACTTTTCAGCTGAACTGCAGTATTTGCAGGACGTAACTATGGAAACAAATGAAAATGTAGGTCATAAAATATGTGCAATATGTAGATGCAACACCTTTTTTTTCTAGTATTATAAACACCTGGTGGCACAAAAATAGTCAAAAAATATGTTCATGAGACGATAACAAATAAAAATGAATCAAAGTAATTCAACACATTTTTGTTTGTTTTTATAATTTGTGGCATTATAAATGTAATAAATGTAAAATACTGCACATTTCTGAGTTATCTCTACTTGTAGTCGTGGTTTTTGCTGTTTCCATTTATATTGCAGCGAAAACTGAGCCTTCAGTGTGTAAAAATGTGATAGAAACAAAGAAAACCCCCTTAAAATGGTTAAAGTTCAGGAGATTAACTGCAGTAATCCCCTGAACGTCACATGCATCCTCAGATCCAGCAGTTTTAACGTCCACATAGTTCTGAAAGGAACACACGAACAGCCAGATCCGGAGAGAAGGGGATCATTTACGTGTTTTTTTCACAGGGTGAAAAGGGCAATGTCTTCCCAAAAAAAAAAAAAAAAGTGACGTCTCAGAAAAAAAAAAAAAAGCCAGACGAGCGCCGGCCTCCATCAAGTATAAAATTAGAGCAGCGTAGTTGCAGTCAGGAGTGCAGGAGATTCGTCTGCGCCTTCATGTGAATAAAGCCCAAGGATAACGGTGTCGTTTCCAGTGACCGTCACTGGTATGTTGACAGTTATGTGTTACTCAGAGCTGCATGAATCACCTCGTATCCCTTTAATGTTGTCATCATGTGTCTGTCTCAACCTTCATGTTCAAGTAATAATCCGTGACATTTTCATATAAATGTCAGCTTTGCGACTGTTTAACTGATGCAACGCGGCGATGATTCAACCTTCTGTAGATGCTGTACAGGAATTTTTTTTTTTTTTTTTGCATATTTACAAACCCTCGATTCCTCCTGGGAGAAATATTGTACCGGCAGAGAAGACACTGCCTTTTGAATTTCCTTTTTTTTGGTTTACATTTCCAGAAAACAAAAAGAAGTGCCATTTACAGAATGTCAGACTTTGTATCCTGATGAAGAGCTGACAGGTCTAAAGCTCCTAAACATCTGAAATTCTTGCACATCTTTCCGTGAACACAAACCTGAAAAAAGGTACAACACTTATTTTGAATTAATGAAACAGCGACAACAAAGTTTTCACTAACAGCCGCTTCCTGAGCTCAGAGGAGGAGCCTCGCTGTGTCATGAAATGCGATAAATAATGCAGCTAGAAAAACAAAAAGACTGCGTAATGCTGTGTTTGTGCGCTGAGGAGGTGAGCTGGAATGAAAACTCCAGTCTTGTGTTAATCAACAGTGAGGTTTAAATCCGCCAGGGATCGTCAGTAAGATAATTAAATTTCCCATCCAGCCCAGTTTCAGATGTTATCATTCATAGAAACCATTTAATCTTTTATTTGCACTAAATTTAATCCACATTACACAGTGAAAACTTCCTTTTGTTGCTGTTTGGTGATGAACTCCCCTCTGGCAGGAGGCTTCGGTCCATCAGGACCAGAACCAGAACCAGAACCACACGCCACAGAAACAGTTTCTTTCCGTCCTCATGAACAAGGCACATGACTGACCCCCTCTGCTCCATCTGTATCTGTATAAATGTAAATATCAATATATCAGCACCCTCAGTATTCCTGTAAACAACATTACCGTTCTGTGGCTCTTATTTCAATTTAGCTTTGATTCTTTGCAGGATTACAGGTATTTTTAGTGACTTTATTTTTCTGTCTATTTATTATTTACTCTTTATTTATTGTTGTTTTGTTGCACCAACCCACCAGAACAAGTTCCTCGTATTGTGTGAACTATACGCGGCAATAAATCTGCTTCTGATTCTGAATCATGGTCAAAATATCGGCTTTTAAACAAGAATTTACAAAAGAAGACGTTAACGTCAAAGTGAGAACAGATCTCTAAAAGCAATGTCAGTTACTGACAAATACAAAATGGAAAAGATCAGATTGCACAAGTTTTCATCCTCTTCAAGTCAGCGTTTATTGGATTGAATCAACGATGCACATCTGGACAGTGAGGTTTTACTCCAATCTTCCTTCCAGAGCTGCTCAAGTTCTGCCAGGTTGCACAGAGAACACAAGGAAAAGCAGTTTTTAAGT